AAAAAAAAAAAGATAGATAGATAGATAGATGATAGATAGACAGATGATAGATAGATAGATAGATAGATAGATAGATAGATAGATAGAGACAGATAATTAGTTGATTCCTCTGGATATCCTTAGAAGTTCCTTAGTGGCCTGAGGAAAAACATATTCTACTCCCTCTTCCTCTTCCCCCTAAATCTTTGAAGAAACTAGAACATTTGAGAGTTCCTTCTCCCTGGGGAGTTTCATTGGCCCCCCACCCCACCCCAGTCTGGAGCCCAGGGAGATTTTGTCTTTACCTCTTCCCTTGGGGCACCTAAAAAGAAGGTGACTCAGGGAGCAGGGGCATAAGTGAGTAGGTGACTCATTCAGAGTGTCTGGAGGGGGAATGTGATCTGGCAAGAGAAGCGATTGCAGCATCCTGAACTTGGAACCTATTCCTCTGAGGCTCCCTGAAGGCCAAACCTGAGCCACAAGGCTTCTGGGGTGAGGAGGATGATGAGGGCTGGTGAGCTACTGGCCCACCTCACCTTCCACAGCAGACCTCTGAGCCGCCAGGTGAGGTCGAAGTAAGGTCCCCGCTGGCTGGGGAGCAGTCCCATGGGCTTCTCTGCTTATGGGAGCAACTGGATCCCAATTCCTGCCTCTAAGTCTCTCCCGTAGCCCTGAGGGTCACTGCAAAGTCACCCGGGCAACTAAATGGAGCTGGGAATCTCAGGGAAGGACCCTCTTGATGATTTGGTAACCTAACAGACATGAAATAAGGACTTGCAATCTCCCTGGCAAGGGAGGGAGAGGGAGAGAGAGCCAGCAAGCACTCAGTGGAACCAGCTCCCAGCACACACAAAGACCAGCTCGGTGTCCAGCTCATTGCTCTGGTATCACCAGAAGATCCAGGAACTCCCCAGGGAATCAGGGGTCTTCATTTTTCCTTTACTGCAAGAGTAACATAACTCTGACAGTAATAACAAGAGGTGACCTCCAATGATGCAGCCTGGCTATCCTGAGAGATCGCAGGTGAGCCAGGGGAGTCAATGGGGCTTTCATTCTTGGTCCTTTGAGTGCAAGGAGGAGGGGGAGCAGGAAGAGGAGAGAACTGGAGAGGGTCAAGTGAGCGGAGGTTAGCATGCATACCAAGTGCATCAAAAGGAAGTACAGGCATACCTCGGAGATATTGTGGGTTTAATTCCAGACTACCGCAATAAAGTGAGTCACACACTTTTTTGGTTTCTTGGGGCATACACTTACACTATGCTTACACTATATTGTAGTCTATTAAGTGTGCAATAGTGTTGTGTCTTAAAGATGTACATACCTTAATTTAAAATATTTTAATGCTAAGAAATGCTAACCATCATCTGAGTCTGTTGGAAAAATGGCACTTATAGTCTTGCTTGACACAGGGTTGTCATCGACTTTCAATTTGTAAAAAACGCAATATCTGCAAAGCACAATAAAATGAGGGATGCCTGTAAAGCCAGGCATGACTGCCATTATCACCTCCAACACCTGGAGGTTAGGGATCAGAGGGGACAAGAGACCAAGGCCTCGCAGGAGAAACAGAAATAAGCCTGGGGACCTGAGGTTTGAGGATGTGGGTGAGGGGTCGTAGGGCGAGGAGGGAGGCAGGGATGCACCAGTCACACCCAGGAGGGAAACCTGATCTGACCCTGAATCTTGGCCTTGTCAGGCTCTTGGGCCATCTCAGTCACCTCCAGGCCTGGCCCAGCTCCCCACCAGTCTCACTTCCCCCTGGTGTAGCGCTTTCTCCAAAACCCTTGTTTGAAGTTCCAAGTTAGCCAGCCCCACCCTAACATGAAATCTGAGACTGGGGATAAAGCCCTCAGCCTCCTGCTGCTCTGAAAAATCACTCCCAACTTCCAACTAGTGAAATATGTCAGTTGACTTCCTACCCATTTTTAAGGCCTTATTCCAGCCTGCCTCCTCCATGAAGACCCCCAAACCTTCCCAGCCTGCTATGATCATTGTTTCTCCACCACCACCACACCTGCAGGGCAGGAAGCCCCTTGAGCTTTTAGTGTCTTTCCCTCCAAGGTAGCACACACGAATCATGGTTTGTGCTGTTGGTTACTTCCCCACGTGTTGTTCCCTCCTGGGTGTGACATGGCTCCTTGAAGGCAGGGGCAATGCCTCACATTGCGGTGTCTCCCACAGCATCGAGCCCAGGGCCTGACACAGATTAAGCATTCAGTAAATGTAGATCAGTTGAGTGAATAAGTAACACAAAGACAGGGTCAGGGAGACACTCTTTTCCTGAAAATCAAACCTATTCCCTCAGAAAAAATGAAGTGAGAGTGTGAGGCACAGAAAACGGGGTAGACAACCAACATTTATTTAGTGCTGATTTATTATTTATATAGTGTGCGTTAAGCTCTGGTAAGTGTTTTATATATGTGCTCATATTTACCCCTTACCACCAACTCTGCGGAGAGGTCTATTATCAGTTTCCTTTTACAGGTGAGAAAAGCGAAGTTCACAGATGCTAATGAACATTGCCAAGGTAGTACAGCTCATGAGTTGTGGATCCAGGATTGATAGCTAAGTCTGCCTGCCCCCAAAGTCCATGCTCTGCCCACTTAGCCTCATATCCACCCCAAGCCCAACGAGAAAGATGACAGTTGTGGTTTACCCACAACTCAGAAGGGCTGGAAGAAGAAGGGCAGAGGGATTTGGTTTCTCCTCCTCCCACAGGAAGGGGCTCCCAAATAGGAGTTCCCAGGGTCAGGACTCCTGCACACACCCTCCCCCCCTCAACCCCTTGTACCACACACACAGGCACTCCTAGAACTCCAGGAGCTATGCCACTGCCTCTGGCTCTGGCTATTTGGAGACAGGCTGGAGTCAGAGGCAGGAAGTAAGGAAAGGTTTTGATATCTTATGCTCTGTGTGTTCTCTTGTCCCAAGTAGCCTGTTCAGGGTCATTGGATCAAGTAAATAGCTGGAGTGCCTGGCCATCTGGTCACTACTGGGACAGGACCCTCTGGGCCTAGCAAGAGTGAAGAGGTTACAAAGGGTCTTCATGGACAAAGGACACAAGAACACACACACACACACATACTCTGGGGCCCTGACCTAAGCTAACCCTCCAGTGTCTGTGGACTGAGAGCTGATATACAGCGTCTGAGTTCTCTGTGTTCCCCCCAACTCAGCCTTGGTGGGAACTCCTGGCACATAGGACATAGGGGCAGGGGTAAGTCCCCCTCCTGCGCTGGCTTCTCTGACTTTGACAGCTGTTTCCTGGGTCCCAGAAAGTTGCTGTGCTGGTGGGGACTACTAGATACCCAGGGAGCATGATCTCAGAAGATCCTCTGAAAAACTTTTTTCTTCCACTTGGGCTGGGTGGGGGCCTCAGGAGACCTGCTCCGTGGAGATGCAGGCCACCCAGAACCGGGGAGACAGATGTGCAGTCCCGGGCAGCCAGATAGACAAGCTGGAAAACACCAAGGTCCTGGAGCCAGAGACTAGGGAGAAGAGAGAAGTCTCTCTTTCTCTCTCTCTCTCTCTCTCTCTCTCTCTCTCTCTCTCTCTCTCTCTCTCTCTCTCTCTCTCTCGGAGTTTGGCCAGAAAAGTTTCCTGCAGGAGGAAAAGCCTCCTTAGCCGAAGCTTTCTCTCAGGACCCAGGGAGCTTGCCCCCAGGAGTCCTCTGGGAAGACAAGAGGCAGAGGCTTCCACAAACAGCGCAAAAGTTCAGTCCTAAAAGTCCCCCAAACTTCCCCTCCCTCTTTCCCTCCTTCTTTTGTTCCCCACAGCGTTGCCAACCAGGCAGCTCCCGGATTCCCACACCGGACCGTCCTCCCCCACCCGAACCCCGGCAGCTCGCGCCTCCCGGCCCAGCCGGCCAGCGCCCGGCCCTCCGGCCCGCAGGCCGCAGGGTGGGGGACGCCTACCCGCCTTGCAGGGGTCTTTGTAGTTGAGAGGCTCCGAGTCGTCCTCCTCGCCCAGGTCATAGGTGTAGTCGGCCAAGTCCAGCGGCCGGCCGGGGCGCGGGATCAGCAGCAGCCCGAGCAGCAGCGGCAGCGGCAGGCGGGCCACGCCGGGCATGCTGGCGGCGGCGGGGGCGGTGGCGGTGGCGGTGGCAGCGGCAGAAGCGGGTCGCACCCGGACGCGGGAGCGGGCGAGGGGAAGCGGAGCGCTGAAGGCGAGGGGGAGGCGCTCCCCTCCCCGCCCGCCGCTCTCCCCGCCCGCCGGCTCCCCCCGCGCTCCCCACCTCTCCCCTTCCCTGCGCTCGCGCCCTCCTTCCTGTCCCCCGCCCCTCGGCCGCCCGCTCCCAGCCCGCTCCCTCCTCCAGCCTCTGCTCGCTCTCTTCCCTTCTTTTTCTCCTTCCTTCTCTCCCTCCCTTCTTCACTGCCCGCCCCCCACTTTAGGGAAATGAGCTCGCTGGGGGGCGGGTTTTCGCCCAAAGCTCGGCCCCCTCGGGGCTGGGATAGCGATCTGCCGGTCGGCCCCGGCCCCGCGCCAGCCGGGGCGGGGAAGGCGAACAGCCGGCCCGCGCTGGGAAGGGGCTCGGGCGGCCGGTGCGCGAGGCGCGGGCCGGGGCGGGGTGCGGGCCCCGGGGTGCCGGCGGCGGCCGCCCCGCCAGCTGCCCTCTAGCGGTGCTTCTCCCGTGCGCGCCCTGCCCGAGCTCCTCGCCGTGCGGGACACGTTGTCAGGTCGCTCGCGCCGCCTCCTCGCTCTGTCTCTAGGTCTCTCTGTCCTTGCTTCTCCGCCTGCGTCTCTCGGTCTCCTCTTTCTTGGGTCCTCGCTCTCTCCCATCCCGGTCCCTGTCCTTAGAGTTCTGTCTCTCGCCCTCCCTCGGGAGACACCACTGGAGGGCGCCTAAAGCCCGCAGCTCGCTTCCTGGCCTCACCGTTACCACCCTGGGACGGGAGAACGGGAAAGCCCCCTTTGCTCCCTAAGGCCTTATCCTTCCCCTAGCCCGCCCCCACCAAGAGCGCGAACCAGGAGAGAGAAGAGGGACACCATTTGTTTTTCAATCAGGATGCTTTATTTTTCTGTGATAGGAATCCCCTGACCCCTAGTAGTAACTTCTCCTCTGCTGGCTCCCACCTCTCCCCACAGCTCCCATTTCTCCAGGGCTCGCCCCTATGGTGTGGCAGGAGCAGCTTTCTGCCTGTTTTCCAAAGACCCTTTGCTCATGGATCTTTCCTGTCCCTTTTGGACTTCTGCAGGCTCTGTGAAGCAAAGAAACACTGTTTATTATGTGAGGGAGAGGACCTGGGGGTGGGGTTGGGGGTGAGAATGTAAGTGAACCTTCCCTCCCCTGGCCTCCCTAAGTGACCGGCCTCCATGGATCCCCTGTGCCAGGTCAGCTGGCAAGGCAAGGTGGCCCAAGCCTTCCTTTGGCACTGGTGTTCCTGTGCTCTGGCGATCACACCTGCTCACCTGAGGGGTCCTAGATGTAGTAGAGGGGCACCTCCCCACAGAGGGTGCTCAAGGTGGAGCCCAGGAAGTCCAGGTTTCTGGAGGGCTCGGAACCAGTGTCATGAACTTCCTTCTGGCCCAGTTTAGAGGGAGGCACTGCAGGCTTGACCTGGAAAGAGCACTTGATTTGGAGCCTGGGAACTGAGTTGCTGTCTCACCTGCAGCCCTCACTGTAGGACCTCAGTTATGTCAGGCAAGCTCTCTGAGCCTCGGTTTCCTCACTAGTAAAGAGGGGGCTGTACTGGGGTCAGAAGCCCCTAGGTGGTATGTGGGTTCCGCTGAGGCCAGCAGCTTGGTGGTGGGGTGGTGGAATGGGGCTGGTAATAGGTAGAGGTGTGATTAAGGTGAGTCTAGAGAGGGGCACTTACCTGGCAGCCTGCCAGGAGCAGTGCTTTACAGGTGACAAATACCCATCACCTCAAATGCTCCTCCCAGCAGCCCTGGGAGGAAAATAACCCATTCCTCCTCACCCTCACACCCACCTGGAGGTTTTGGAGCTTTCTAGTGAGAGTCTCAAGGCTGGGGATGTTCTCTGGAGCCATCTTCATGATGTAGCAGTAGGTTCCCGGGGCTGGCTTGTAGGCAATCAGGAGCTGGGCACAGGAACCCCAGAGTTCATTCAGGAAGGCCCTGTCTTGCTCACTCTCTAACTCTTATCTTAGGCCATCGCCCTCTATGTTGGACACAGGCAGGAGTTATACTGGAAGCTGGGGCACAGGTACACCCAGGGGAGGCAAAAGGGCTGGAGGATGAGGAGAGATGGCACATCTGGGTGGGTCTAGTGGAATCTTGTCATTGGTTTCCCAGGCCCAAGGTCAAGAGATCCAGGCATACCTACCCGCTGGTAGTCATACACTACGATGCCAGTGGAGCCAATGGAGAAGGTGGCAGTGGTGCCCGCACGCTCACTCAGGGCCACATGTTGCTGGGCTTCTGGCCCCGCAATGCTCATTTCTAGGACCTGGGGGAGGGCATAGTGCTGCCTGGCATTCCTCTTTCCCCCCTTGTCTCCAATACTCATGCCCATTCTCAGTCCTCCGTATTCAAATGCAATCCCTTCTTTCCTGAAAGCTCAGAGAGGCTGAGTGGAACCAGGCGCTGGAAGGAACAGACTGTCCCACCATGGATCAGGGGCAGTGGCCTGGTGGAAAAAGCCCAGGCCAGGTTTGCCACCCTGTTCCTGCCTCTTTCCTTCCATGAGGTGCTCCCTGCCTCCTCTTCTCATTCCTCTTGGGCAGTTTGCTATCTGCCTAGTGCTTGCCACCCCCATCTCCCTGACATGTCCTATACTGGCTACCCACCCCATCCTAAACCTGCTCACCATCTCAGTATGTTTCTGGCTCATGTGAAGACCCATAAGCAGGGCCCCTACAATCACCACGACGACAAGGACCACCACCACGACCACGATGAGAAGGCGTTTGAGGTGCACAGGGCAGCAGGGGATGCCGAACCGGCCCCTGGGGGCTGCTGAGTAGTCCTAATGTGGTGGGGCAGGGAGGAGACAGGTGTGAAATCATGAGGATGCCCCCTCTTCTCCCTGCACAAGTTGGACACCTTCCCACACCCTTCCAAGGCTGGGAAACCAATGCTATGGACGTGAAGAGGAGGGATGAGATCAGAGAAGGCTTCCTGGAAGAGATGCCCTGGATTCTGACAAACTCATAGATGGCTAGAAGTGAGGTCTCACTTGGAGAGATCCAGGAGAGCTTGTTTCACCAGTCATATCTCCTGCTGTTTCCTCCAGACTCCTGGTACCTCAGCCATGCCCAGTCCCTCTTCGTTCCCCAAATAATCCATGCTCTCTCACACTTCCATGCCTTTACAAATGCCACCGTTCTTCCTGCAGTGCCTTCTTCCTTCTCCACCTGGGAGTTCCTACTTATTCTGGAGCCAGCTCGAATGTCATTTTCTCTGTGGACTGTCAAGTGATAGCTCCTTACTCAGTGCCCTCTTCAGCTCTTTACACTGACCTCCGTGGTGGCGCTCAGCCCCTTATATTGGAATCACTGGCTGCCACATTTATCTCCCCATGGGACTCTGTCTTAGTAGTTGAGGTCCCTGCCTAACTTAGCACAGTCCTAGGTTGATTGGGTGAATAAATTTGGATGAGAAAACAGATCGGAGGAGGCAGGGCCCACCACACACATGATCACACTCACCGGTGGGCTCTCCATCAAGACCTCTTTGCTGCCCACATCCATCTTGCTGCAGTCACCTTCTCCTCCTCAACTCCTAAGAGTTACCAGGGTCTTATATGTGCCAGTAGGGAGCGGGGACAGAGGTGAAGGACCCAGCCCCCATCTGCCAGCCAAGTCCTTGGCTTTGAAGCCTGTTTGTTCCTGGCCCTCCAGAACCAAGGCCCTGATAAGCCAGCTGCTAGAGCGCCTAAGGGCCCTTGACCCTGACACATGAGCCTTCTTGGCCCCAGCAAGAGCAAAGCTGGGTGAGCTGAGCAAACTTGCCTTTGGCCAGTCTGTACTTCTCACTATGGGTGTCTTCCTGGTGTTCCCGCCTTCCTTTTTGGCACCTGCCCTAGACATCCTGTGGCTTTCCTGTTCTTCTGCCAGGCTGAGCCTCTCAGGAAGCAAAGAGTCTGACCCAATGGGGAGTCCATCACTTTTCCCAACAGCATTTCCCCCAAGCATAGGGATGAGCTCCAGGAACGGGAGTGAGGAGATAGTGCCTATGGACCCAGAGGGGCACTGCTGAAGGCATCCGTGTGGGGGTTCATGAATGGTTCATAAGTTCTCTGGGAGTGTCACATTTTCACTTGAAATACTCTACCTGCTTCGCCATCTCCCCACTTCTGAATCTTACCTCAGACTTGCCCCCCGGGCCACTCTTTTCTGAATTCTGAAAACTCTGTCCCTTCTGGTTACAAATTCTTACTTACTAACATGAGGTTTTTCATTCTTTGCTATGAGTTAGTTTGTAAACTGAAGGCTTTCCCGCCCCCCCCCCCCCATATTTTATTTGCATCTATTTTATGCTGAATTTATTACTGGGTCAGATGTTTTTATTTCTTTAGTTTCTTCTGGGATGCCCCCCCCCCCCCCCCCATGCAACCTCCTCTTTTGGTTTAGGAACAAGTTGATCTTTTTCAGTAAGGATGATCTCAGCGTGGCAGGGGGAGCTCATATGGGGGTTCATCTGCCCAGGAGCTTTGTAATATCTATGCCCCATCTTGGGGGCTCTGTTCATTTGGATGTGTTCAATGACCAGAGAATCTACTTCTAAATCCTTTAGTTCAACATTCTTCTCTGCATTTTATTTTTATTATTTATTTATTTATTTTTTGCATCCTTACCCAAGGACATTTTTTCATTTTTTGTTCAGATAGAGTGGGAGGGACAGAGAGGAAGAGAGAGAGAGAAACATTGATGTGAAAGGTACACATCGAGTGGTGGCCACCCACACGACCCAGCCAGGGCCAGGGACAAACTGCAACCGAGATACGTGCCCCTAGCGGGAACCGAACCCAGGTCTCTCTGGACCGCAGGCCGATGCTCTAACCGCTGAGCCAAACTGGCCAGGGCCTTCTCTGCATTTTAAAGCTTGTGCAGCAAAAATTCAGTACTCTCTTTGGGCCACCAACCCTGTGTTCAGCCCCATTGTTTTGCCTGGGCACACCTACCAACTCCACCTTGTAATGACGGAATGGCACACACTGCTTCTGTCAAGTATCATCCTTCAGATACTTGATGGCTTTGGGGATATTCATACCCTTGATGGTGTGGGTTGTTTTATGAGCATTTTAAAAGTGAACATGAGTCCTTGGCTGGATGGCTTAGTTGGTTAGAGAATTGTCCATACACCAAAAAAGCTTGTAGGTTCGATTCCTGGACAGGGCACATACCTAGGCTGTAGGTTTGATCCCTGATTGGGGCACATACAATAGATTGATCGCTCTCTCTCCCTCCCTCTCTCTGTCATCAATAAAAACTTATCTTCAGATGATGATTTAAAAAAAAGTGACCATGCCCTGGCTCAGCAGTTAGAGCATCGACCCGCAGACCAGAGAGACCCGGGTTTGATTCCCTCTAAGGGCCTCGGTTGCAGTTTGTCCCTGGCCCCGGTTGGGGTTGTGTGGGTGGCAACCAGTCGATGTGTCTCTCTCACTTCGATGTTTCTCTCTCTCTCTTCCTCCCTCTCTCCCTCCCGCTCTATCTGAAGGTAAATGCAAACATGACCTCAGGTGAGTATTAAAAAAAAAAAAAAAAGTGACCATGAAGCTTTGAGGCTCTTAACTTGCATGATTTTGTGGGGTCTTTTGTGTCAAGTGAAGGGCGTGCCATTTTCTTTTCTTTTTTTTGGTACATGCCCCAGCGGGAACCAAACCCGGGACTCTCTAGTCCACAGGCCGACGCTCTAACCGCTGAGCCAAACCGGCCAGGGTGGGTGTACCATTTTCATAGATGAAGCTGAAGGCTTTTGATAGCAGATTCCATGCTGACATGTCTTTCTTATGCCCAGACAGTCTTGTACAGGGCTAGATGTGGTGACCGATGGGCTCCCAATCTCCTCTTCCTTGAATCAGCTGTCATCACCTTTCCTCCCTGCATTCTTCTTTTTATATCTTCTAATTCTAAATCTACCTTGAGAACCCTTTCTCACCCAAACGGGATCCACTTTATGGACCGTCCTCTCCCCTCTATCTGTTTCCTACTCTTTCCTCCAAGCCTTCTCGTTGCTTCATTGTGCTAAACCAAGTCGACTAATGGCGGCTCCTTTATCTCGGGCTCCCTGTGCTCGCTGGGCCCAGGTGCTCTAAGGCGCCTTCACTTCTGAACATTCACGAGTGTAAGTCAGAGCCCTGCACTTTGCTCCTCTCTTGGTCTCACTCCTTTATCTTCCTTATAATGTAGTTCCAGCACTTCACCCCAATTTCTGTCCTTAGCCTGGGGGCTCCCTCACACCAAAGCCTTGCTCTTTAATCATGAGCGGACCTCCAATTCTCCAGCCCTGGCAGGTTCCCCTGTCCCCACAAGGGCCCCCTCTACCCCTGGAGGGCCTTCAGTCTCCAGGTTGCACAACAGCATGGTATCTGAGCTGAGAGCCCCTGAGAAGCTGGGGTGGGAGGAAGAGAGAAGGAAGGAAATGTTTGCTTCCACAACCTTCCTTTAAATATTTGCATAAGCCTCTAGCAGCAAGTGTCCCGGGAGGAGTGGAAAAGGGGAGGAGCTGGAGGGGATGGGGAAGGATCCTTTTAGTTGTATGTAGGTGCCAGATGCAGGAGACAGTGCCTACAGTGCCCACCCCTCCCCATCCCCAGGGACCCCACTCCCATCCCTGGTTGTCCTGGCAACACTGGCATTGATGGGCTGACTCACACATTCTGGGCCTATGCCAGGTGGGCAACAGGCCAGTGGGAGAGCCAAGGATAACTGCAAACATCTTGGGGTCCCTATGGTCATCTCTGGGGGCTGCCTAGTCCAGCTTTGGGGCTTGTTCTGAGCAGGTGCTGTGTGGTGTAGGGCTTGCTATCATCATTGGGTACAGGGAACTGGAGCTCTTTCTTGGAGAGAAACCTCTGCTCTTGGGACCTCAGTCTCCCCTGCAGGCTGCCTTTAGGTTGTAGTTCTCATAAGCTTCACAGATTTTTCTTTCTTTTCTTTTCTTTTTTTTTTAACTCATTTTTGCCTGTTTGGAGGTTGGGAAGGAAAGATGCCCTTCAGTTTCATGAGGAAAGTTCAAATGCTGGCACCAACTTGGTAGAGGTCTTGGGAACCATGAAGAAGGAAGGAGGGAGGGACATTTAGCTGGGCATGAATAGCTGTCCCCTCACTCCCCACCCCAGCCCTTTGCTGCAGCCTTCTCATCTCTTGGCCTTTACTTAGGCCATTTCTCCCTCCTGGAAAGCTCACTCTCAATGCCTCTCCAACTCTCTAAACCACCCACCCTAAAAGGCCAAGCAACAACCAATAGCACCCACTCTGTGACCTCACCACCCCAGCCCATGGTGCCCCATACCTCCTCCCAGACACTCTGCTGCATATTCACCTGCCACTTAGCACTGCACTGTTGTTTTCATCAGCCATGTGGGTGCTTGTATCTTCCCAACCTGGCTGCCAGCCATGTGACCAGCCCTGGGATCCAGCATTCCTGCAGCTTCTTTGTACCTACCACAGAGCAAGGAGCATGCATGCAGCCAACAGTCAATGATGACTGTCATCACCAAAATGAGGGAGTTCCTGGCAAGCAGTCAATAGTTCACCCCTTCAGTATATGAAGGTCTCAATGCCTCGCTGGCCAGCTCTCGGTCCCTAAATGAGACATTCTGCCTTTCTAGTCTTTAGAGTGTTCATCTGTGAAATGGGACTAGTGCTGCCTGTCCTGTCCCCCTCTCCAAGCTGTTGTGACGATACAATGACATCATGATGTGAAAATCCAATGGTCACAATTATCATTATCTTTACTTCCAGTGTACCTCTTCTCCTAGATAAGAGTAGGACCCAGCCCCTCCCTTTAGAGCCTTTGAGAACCGTGGTAGTGGAGAGCCCCATGGTAGCCACCCTTTCTGTGTGTCTCCCTTTCTCCTCCTTCCAGCCACTCAGCTGCAGGGACAGAACAGGATTCACTCTGCTCTTTGTGTCCTGGGCAGAGCCGTGCCAGGGACGAGCAGGGGTGGTTGCCCAGCTGCCCCAGCTGCCCCAGCTGCCCTCCCCACCCCCATTGCTTATCTTCCCACAAGCTGACATGGGGAGGGCAGCAAAGGCAGCTGGAATGTAGTGGCAAGTGGGCATCAAAGAGCAGGAACATCCCTGGCACGGGTTTGAGCTCAGACCAGAGAATCCCGTACTGGCGGAGGCTGGGGACAGCCAGGAAAGCATCTTAAACCGAGTGATCTAGATTTCCTTGGACTGATGTGGAAAAAGCACAATACTGGGAACCCAGCCATGGACTTCCAGGCTCCCCTCGTCCTGTATCTGGGAGCTCTTGGGACAGTCACCCCCACCATCACCACATACACACACCCCTAAGAGGTAACATGATATAGAACAGCAATTCTCAGACTTTTTGGTTTCAGGATCCCTTAACACTCTTAAGAAGTATTGAGGACCCCAAAGAGCTTTGTGATGTGGGTTATACATATTGATATTTACCATATTGATATTTACTGAGGAATTTAAAAATATAAATTAATTTAATTAAAATATCAATAACACATCTATTATATGTTATAACATAAATAACATAAAATTTAAAGATGAAATTAACTATATTACAAAGCAAAAAAAAAAAAAAAAACCCACAAAAAACAGAGAGAAGTGTGTCATTGTACGTATTACACTTTTAAAACTTTCTTTCATTTCTGGCTTAATAGAAGATACATCATGTAGCTGCTGGAAAATTCCAGGGCACTTTGTGAGAGCATGAAAGCGAAAAGGGCAAATAATGTCTTAACATTAATAGGAAAATTGTTTGCCCTCAAACAGCCCCTGGAAGGTTCTCAAGGACCCTTGGGCTGCCTGGCCCACACCTGGTAGAGAAGAGTGACTGAACTTTGGAGTTGGCAGAATGGCTTTAAACCCTGCTCTGTCACTTTCTTTATCCGTAAAGGGGGATTACTATCATCTTTCTCAAAAGGTGGAGAGGATTAAGTAAACAGAGTACACAACACACAGTAAGTATGATATCAAGCTTGGCTCCTTTCCCCTTGGTCGGGGTCTCAGTTTCCTCATTTGTTAAACAAAGGTCTGGACTGGAAAACTTCCAAGACTCTTCCCAGCTCCAACAGGCTGTGGTTGTGTAATGAGAAATGTTCCAGAATTCCACACGTTCCCACTCCAGCTCCAGGGACCACATTCCCCTTTTCAGCTCACGCAGACACCACGATACATGCTATTCATGAGCTGTGGAAATACATCTGAACACAGATATACACCTGTCACCTATGACATGCCAATGAATCTGCTAAGAGGATGTGTCACCTCAGCGGCCTAGATATACACATGGGGACACAGAGGCACATGGTTCCTGATGAGGAACTGCAGCGCAAGGGGATCTGTGCACGTGCCTACAGAGATAGGTGTGCACACATGCACACAGCCATGTCATCCTAGGATGCACATGTACACTTACACACATGCACTTGCTCACAGACGCGCTGGGTACCAGACACACAAGCAGATGGCCCAGGGATCTCCAGTGGGGCATGCAGCATAAAGTAACCACTCCCTTCTTTGGTTACTCCCAGCCCGGGACTCCCCCCTCCGCCCGGCGCGCGCCCCCGCCGCCGCAGTACGCGGCCACTCGGGCGGGTCAGCCTTCTGATCCGCTCGCGGCGTATCAATCCGAGTTGGCTCCCGGGAGCGAGCAGGGGAGGGAACCGCAGCCAGCGCCGCGGGGTGGAGGAGTCTGCTCACCGCAGCGGGCAGCCGGGCCCCTCGCTGCGGCAGCGGCTGCCAGGGGCCAGGCGGTGCCAGCCCGCAGGGTGGTGGAGAACTGTAGGGGCGGCCGGAGGCAGAGCTTGCAGGCAGCATGGCGGGGCTGCGAACCAGGCGGGGCTCCGGGCTCAGGCTGCTTGCGCTGTCTGGGCTTGGATTCTGCCTGATGCTGCAAGTCAGTGCCAAGAGGCCCCCCAAAACGCCCCCCTGCCCACCTAGCTGCTCCTGTACCAGGGACACAGCTTTCTGCGTGGACTCTAAGGCAGTGCCCAGGAACCTGCCCGCCGAGGTCATCTCTCTGTGAGTGCCCAGCCCTGGCCCAGGGGGTGGTCAGCCCAGAGGGGAAGGAAGGCAAGGGCCACTCTGGGAGTCTATAAGAAGAACCCCATTCTTCCCCTACGGAGTGTGGGGACCAGGAGGACTCCAGGGTAACCTCAGGACTGGAGACTCAAGGTGTCAGCCAGGCAGGGAGTTCTGCGGTTTCACAGGCTCAGCAGCCATGGCTGGGGAAAACAGGACTTCATGGCCAAGAATGAATCATCACCACCAGCAGCATCAATGAGACCTACTGTGTGCACGGTTCTGGACTTGAGGGGAGGGAGGTTGCTTACCCCAGCCTGTGGGTCCCTGCCTGTGATGTCACACCAAGGGCAGAAAGGCTTCTAGTGGGGGGAGGGAAGGAGGCAGCAGGGGGAGGGGTGAGAGGGAGATACACCCACACTGCACCCTGGCATGGGGCAGAAGCCTGTCTCTGGTCTCACCAGACACTCTGCACCTAGCCAGCCAGCCTGTCACTTGCTACAGTGGCCTCTGGGGCCAGACAGGCTGTGTGGTCCTTGACAGCAGGATGCTAATCCCTACCCCCATCCCAGGGCCCCATCCCTCAACAGCATCTAGTACACTGGGTATTTGGAGGATCATGAAAGCATGGCTAATGGAACCTTCTTTTACTTGAGGGGGAAGCTGAGCCTGGGGCCATTGGTGCTCAGCGAGGTAGTAGGGGAGGTAATGATGAGGGCAGGCAGTGAAGAGAAGGAAAAGACAGCCTCAGGTGGAGGGCGAGGCTGGTGACCTGAGGAGTTTCCGGGGTGAGTGCATCCAGAAGCCACTGCTCTGTCCACCTCACAAGGGGCCAGCATAATCCCTGAATACTCCCCACAGTACTGACTGAGGTGTCCCCTGCAGGACACTGGTGAATGCTGCCTTCTCGGAGATCCAGGATGGAGCATTTTCCCACCTGCCGCTGCTGCAGTTCCTGTATGGACAGGGCCCTGTGGAAGGCGGGTGGTGGCTTGGGGAGGGGCAGTAGAAGGGGACAGACAGATCCTGGACTGGGGAGAGGAGAGCCCATGAAGGTAGCCTTTGGAGACTAAAATGCAGGTGTCCCACTTTTGCCCTGATAGAATTCGCCACAAAAGGTGGAGCAGCCTGGAGTCAGGAAAGTGGAGGGAACAGCAGCTGGGGATGAGGGCAGGGTTGCATGCAAAAGCCAAGATGTGGGTATTTGGGGCCCAGTTAGGAATGGAGCTTCCTCTAGAGACCCAAAAGAATTGGGTGCAATAACTTGGGCTGGTGCCAGAGGGTGGACACTGCAGGGGAGAGGGGTCGTCTTAGAGACAAGTGACCCTAGGTTTTGAAAAAAGAGCTGGGAGCTGAACGGAGGGAAGACTAGAGGGCCTAGAATTCAAAAAGGGGTTATTTACGTTTGAAGCTGCAGTCACAGGAGAGAGTACCCTCGAGTTACCCCACTTTCTTCTCACCATCAGCCCCAGAGGGCCTGGACAGAGCCTGGGTGAGAGTGGGAGACAGAGCAGATGCCGTGATAGGACACAGCTTGCCAGGAAAGATCTGCCCCGACTGTTTTTACCCTTGGAGCAAACAGGGACCCTGGGAGTTTCTGGGACCAGAACAGCTCCTGCCTGGTCTTGCTACCTAGGCTGCTCTGGGGCTCTCTGCTGGGGTCCTGAGGGTAGGAGGCAGAGCAGCCAGGCCTTGAAGAAGCCCAGGGGTGAGGCAGCAGGCAAGCCCTTGGGAGCTCTAATACTGCCTTTGTTTCTACAGGTTACTCAACTCCAACAAGTTTACGCTGATCGGAGACAATGCCTTCACAGGACTATCACATCTGCAGTACCTGTGTGTGGGAAGGAAAGGGGAAATGGGAAGTCCACGGGGAGGAGGAAGGAGGGCCTGGGTGGGCTGAGAGGGGAGGTTGAATGTAGAAGGCTGGGGGACGTGAGAGCCCTTCAGCCCTCTGACTGCAGGACCCAAGCAGAGAAGGGGTCATTTCATCCTTCCCTCTGCCTAAGCTATCCTGCCTGGATGCCCTGTCACCACAAGCATAATGTTACCACATTTGGAATGAAATCCTGTCTGAGGGCCATGGGCTGGAATGTAGGCATGGTGTAGGGTAATAGGTGTGGTGGGTGGTGGTGGAGCAGGGTGTCCTGGGATCCTGAATAGTGCCTGAGACAATTCTCATTTCCTTCAGCTTCATTGAGAACAATGACATCTGGACACTATCCAAGTTTACTTTCAGAGGACTCAAGTCTTTAACACACCTGTGAGTACATCCCACACATACGTTCATTCATTGGACCAAAACCCCACCCCACTGCACCCTCACCCACCCCCATCTCTGTCTCTTGTGGCCTTTAGCTTTGGTCACAATCTTCAGGTGACCCATAGGTCTCTCTTGCAGCTCACTGGCCAACAATAACCTTCAGACACTGCCTAGAGACATCTTTCGGCCCCTGGACATCCTAAGTGACTTGTAAGGCCTGAGTCTCAACTCTTTCTACAGTGCCACAGAGGGGTGCATCCCTGGAGGGAGTGGTGTAGGAGCTAGGATTGGGAAGATCATAAAATCTTGAGGGGCTAGGAGGGCTTGGTTTTGGGGGGGGGGTCCGAGAAGGCTAAGTAAATCTAAATATAGATTGGCAGCTTTCTAAGTTGGGGTTCCTCAGGCATCTGTGGGTCCTCTTAAAATGCACAAGACACTTTGTGTGTGTGTGTTTTTCAAACATGTGCTTTCTAAATGTATGTTAATTTGAATCTACATTAAAGTCTGATAGCATAGCCACAGTCATTGAACAGTATTTATACCAGACACCAAAAGCCATGGACTGTGGAAGGATGGGAGACAAGGGGTGCAAAGCAGGGTCGATCAGGTTATAACTGCAAAAAGCATCTGGCTAAGGAGGCAAGTAGGGGCTGAACTCAGCCTCCACTCCAATGGCCAAGCATGTGTCCATAGGGCTGTATCCACCCCAAGGGGAACCTTTTTCTAATGGGCACAAAGATGCATGTGAGAAACCAGCAGCAGCCTTGACAATACCTACTTCTGAAACCTCAAGATCCTGGGTGGGTTGAGCAGCTGAGAGCCTGTCCCTTCTATGTCCCCTCTACTCCCTTCATGATCAGGGACCTGCGGGGCAACTCACTCAACTGTGACTGCAAGGTGAAGTGGTTGGTGGAGTGGCTGGCACACACCAACACGACGGTGGCCCCCATCTATTGCGCCAGCCCGCCCCGCTTCCAAGAACACAAGGTGCAGGATTTGCCACTGCGGGAATTCGACTGCATCACCACGGGTAGGAGGTGCCCCTGCTTAGAACCTCAGGCACCACCCCCCCAAGGCAGCTCCACAGGCATCACCTAAACCCACAGCCTCTTGCCTTGCCTGCTAAGCAACCCTTATCACCCTGCAAACTCTTACTCTTTTCCCTCCCCCACCCCCAATTCCTGCAGATTTCGTGTTGTACCAGACCCTGCCCTTCCCAGCAGTGTCAGCCGAGCCCTTCCTTTACTCCAGCGACCTCTATGTGGCTCTGGCCCAGCCAGGTGTCAGCGCTTGCACTGTCCTCAAGTGGGACTATGTTGAACGGCAGCTTCAAGATTATGATAGAATCCCAGGTACCTGTGCCCGGCCTGACTGTGCTGGCCCCAGCTATGGAGAGCAGGGGTAGGGGTGGGGGGCTCCACGGAGTTCCTATAAGGAGAGGGATAGATGAGACATGGCCTCTGCTCATAAAAACGTTCTAGTCTTTGGAGGAAAGCTGATTCATACACAGATAACATCCATATAATAGGTCAGTGCTAAGAGGGAAGTATGAACACAATGCACCAGGAACACGAAGGAGAGGCTTACCTTGGGTAATCAAAGAATGCTTCCTGGTGGAGGGGATGACTACACTGAGTCTTGAAGGATGAGGGAGAGGAAGGAGTCAGAGATGATTTCTGGCTTAAGTAACTGGGTGGTACCAGTGAACTAAAAAGAAGGAGATACTGAGTTTAAGCTGAGTCTAGAATGCTGAGGGAGACTTGGCTAGGAGAAAAAATGTGGGAAGGATATTCTGGCAGAGAGAATATCCTTTGCTCACAGCATGAGCAAAGTCAGGAAGATGTGCAACAGCTTATTGTGTGAGTGCAGGCTTATATAAGCAGCATATATGACTATAGCATAAGGTTCAAGGTGGACAGTGGCAGGCCTGAGAGAGACCATTGACAAGGTCATTGACGAGCTTTGAGAAAGTGTGTGAACCAATCCAATCTGTATTTTAGACAACTCCCTCTGTGAGCATTGTGGAGAGTAGCTGGGCATGGGGCAACACATGTGGGTAGACCAGTAGGGGGTGTCATATGGAGCCTGGGCTGAGGCAGCAGTGATGGGAATGGAGAGTTATAGTTAGAAAAGAGGATTGAACTGACACAAGAGGAAACAGAAAATGTAAATCATCCTATGTCTATGAAAGAACTTGAAGCCATGAGAAAAAGCAAACCTTCCCTGCAACACAAGACTCAGATGGTTTCTAGCAAACATTTAAGGAAGAAATAACACCAATCTTACACAAACTATACTAGAAAGCAGAAGGAGTGTTGACAGAACTTGGGAACTGACCAGCTAGCTGTGCATGAATGAGGGACAGGGAGGTATTGGGGAAGGCTCCTAGGTTTCTGGTCGGGTGACTAGGTGGAGCCACAAATTGACATCAAGAACATAGGAGGAGGGGAAGGAGCAGTTTTGGGATAGATGTGGAGCTCAGCTGTGGTCAGCTGGAGTTTGAGGTGCTTGAGGGTATTTGGGCAAGGAGAGTCTGAGCTGTGGTGGCTCGGGAGGGGCCAGGTGACCTGGAGCTGGGCCATCATCAGAAGCTGGTCAGGCAGACCAAGGCTGTGCTGGGGACTCAGGCAGTAACTGCCAGAGCCTGAGGCTCAGCACCAGCTTCCCTTGGGGAGAGGCAGAATAATGGGGGAAAGGAGGGTGCATGAAGGTGATGACTGGAAGCAGGTGAGGAATGTGGCCCCATATGCTTTGGGTGCCTGGGAAGAGGTCAAATCAACCTGGTTTAGCACAGGTACATTTGTTTTCATACATAAAAGCCTTTCAAAAAATGGGAATTCTTGGGAGAATGTGTTTTCATACACATCTCTCCAGATATCAAGCTGTCATTTTCTACCCAGCTGTGGACAAGCTCATACTCTCCCTCCTTCCCCTGCCTGGCCACTTGCCAGCAGGTAGCTTTGGGCGAGTCACTTAGACAGCGAGCCTCAGTTTCTTTCTGTGTGAAATGGCAAATAATAAGGTGCATTTCAGAGTGATTAATTGGGGCAATGTGTTCATACTTAGCACAGTGACTGCACCCAATATCAATTCAATAATTGACACTACGGTCAAACAGTCCATCAACATCTAGGGACACCTATTTCGTGTTTGGTGTTGTGTATATGGAAATCCTGGGGGCAAGGGTGGATGGAGGGTGATGCTGAGACTAATCATTAGCTATGAAGCAATTAGAGGAACTTAGGGGAGTGACTACTGCAGCAGAGGGCACAGAGGCCTGTGTTGCCTGACGCTGCTTCCCTGCTCCCGGCAGCCCCCTCAGCCGTGCACTGCAAGCCCATGGTGGTGGACAGCCAGCTGTACGTGGTGGTGGCCCAGCTGTTTGGTGGTTCTTACATTTACCACTGGGACCCCAACACCACACGTTTCACCAAGCTACAGGACATCGACCCACAGCGTGTGCGCAAGCCCAATGACCTGGAGGCCTTTCGCATTGACGGCGACTGGTATTTTGCCGTGGCTGACAGCTCCAAGGCGGGTGCCACCAGCCTCTACCGCTGGCACCAGAATGGCTTCTACTCCCACCAGGCCCTGCATGCCTGGCACCGTGATACCGACCTGGAGTTTGTGGATGGCGAGGGCAAGCCTCGGCTGATCGTGTCGAGTAGCTCCCAGGCACCAGTCATCTATCAGTGGAGTCGCACCCAGAAGCAGTTTGTGGCCCAGGGTGAGGTCACTCAGGTGCCTGATGCCCAGGCTGTGAAACACTTCCGTGCTGGACGGGACAGCTACTTGTGCCTCAGCCGCTACATAGGGGACTCGAAGATCCTGCGCTGGGAGGGCACCCGCTTCTCTGAGGTGCAGGCCCTGCCCTCCCGGGGCTCCATGGCCCTGCAGCCTTTCCTTGTGGGTGGCCGCCGCTACCTGGCCCTGGGCAGTGACTTCTCCTTCACCCAGATTTACCAGTGGGATGAGGGCCGGCAGAAGTTTGTACGGTTCCAGGAGCTGGCTGTGCAGGCCCCTCGGGCCTTCTGCTACATGCCTGCTGGGGACGCCCAGCTGCTCCTGGCCCCCAGCTTCAAGGGACAGACGCTTGTGTACCGACATGTAGTGGTGGACCTCAGTGCCTAGAGGGGTGCCAAGGCCTCTGAAGTGGAGGCAGAGGGGGAGCCTCTGTGTGAGCAGTGTGCGTGCCTATGTGAACACACATGTAGCTAACCTCATGCACACACTTCTGGTGAGCATCACACATGAACTGGACTTAGGAGCCACTCATCATAGTTGTAATCAGCATGAGGACTCATATATGCACCAGGCAACCCAGCATCCAGGGCCCTTCACCCATGGACCCCACACCCCATCTGCAGGCCCCCTCTATCTGCTGCCTTCCACAAGCTCTGGCCTGGGGAGGGGGAGGGATGCTGGCGAGGGAGGGTCTTGGGCTGATCCTCTGACTCTGGTCTCTCCTGTTGGTGCTCCAGGGGTCTGTTTAACCTGCTCATGCCCCACATTGCAGCCACAACCACACCCTTCTTACTGTGGGTACACTACCCACGCTCTGCTCCTCCTGCATGTACACGTGGGATCCGGCCTACAGCCTCAGTCACACGCACACACGTCTGTCCACACCCCCGTTTCCCCATGCACACATGCAGATTCAGCGCTGCAAAAAGGGGCCCCCCTCCATTATCTTGCCTCTCTTCTTGGAGGGTGCACGCAGCACCTTCCTCCCCCGCTCATCTTTGGTGTGCCCACACTGCTGCTGCTGAGGATGGGAATGCTGGTGCCTCTCTCAGCACCAGCTTGACCTTCTGGGGGCAAAACCCCTTTGCCCAAAGCAATAACAATAGCTCTAGCAGATCCTGACTTCTTCCTTCCCAGTGCTGGCTCTTTCTTTTCTCACCAGGATTTTCTTCTCTGACCCTGTCACCATGGACAGCAGACTACTCAGACCAAAACAAAAAAAAAACTTTCTGCTTTTCTTTCCTGTAGCTGCTCCAGCCTCAGCCCCTTGCCCCCCTGAGCCCTGGTTCAGCCTTTCCTTTGGGATATGGACCCTGAGCTGTGCTGGCTCCATTAGCTAGGTCCAAGACCCGGCCAGGCCAGGGACTCTGAAAACACTCAAGTTGTCTGGGCGGGTTCCAGGGATAGAGCTGGGTTGAAAAACATCTTGGGGGCTCTGGCACCACTGTAGTCCACAGATGCACACCTCAGGGGCACTGCCTTTCAGGGCAAACTGAGTGGTAGAGGTTTGAGGGCTCTGTGGAGTGGCATCTGGGAGCCAAGCTTCTTTTACCCTCTGCTGTGTGCCTGGGATAGAGAGCTATGAGGTATGTGGAGGGTGGAGGAAGCATGGGGAGGGGAGGCTCTTCCCAAGTGCGGACTGTGGGAAGGGCTTCTGGCCACAGGATGCTGGGGGTGGGGGGCACTTGGGGGCAATGCTATAATTTGCTTACTTTAAATAAAAAGTTCCCACCTCACCCTGGCCGGTTTGGCTCAGCGGTTAGAGCGTCGGCCTGTGGTCCAGAGAGACCCGGGTTCGGTTTCTGCTAAGGGAGCGTACCTTGGTTGCAGTTTGTCCCTGGCCCCGGTTCCTGGTTGGTCATGCAGGTGGCAGCCACTGGATGTGTCCCTTTCACGTCGATGTTTCTCTCTCTCTCTCTCTCTCTCTTCCTCTTTCTCCCTCCCACTCTATCTGAACAAAAAAGGGGGAAAAATGTCCTTGGGTGAGGATAAAAATAAATAAATAAATAAAGTTACACTCTTTAAAAAAACAAAAACAAAACGTTCCCACCTCTTTGCCAGCTCTCAGGTGTCCAGTGGCAATGGTCAGCAGCAGCTGTTTCATTAAGAACACAGCATGTTGTCTGTCCCTCCTGCTCACAGGGTCTAAAGTCCTATTTCAGACCCTCTCCTCCCTGCTCCCTTCCCTCTGAAGAGTGAATGGGCACCCCAAGGTCTGCTGGTGCTGGGGTCAGGAGTTCATGGTGATGACACTCAGGTGCTGGGTGAGTGTGACTAGTCTCCACTACCTGAGGCTGATTCATGGTCCATGTTCCTTCCTGGAGATCACAGTCTTGGGGCCACTGGAGTCTGTCCCTCTGTCAGGTCAATTCCAATCAACATGGCCAAAGACAAGCTCAGTGGTCCCTCTCCTCTCCACCCCCTCTGCTGGGCAAATGTCTGTCATCACTGTCACCCTCCATTCTGGGTGTGAGATTTCAGGAAAGTGGAGTGATTTCCTGGAGTTTGGGCTGCTTCTGCAACACAGATAATAAATCCTACTTTGTGAAATTCTGATTCAGCCACGTACCAGCTGGGTGGCCTTAATCACATTACTTAGCCTATTTGTATTTGTTTCCTCATCTGTAAAACGTGGATAGTTGGACACCTACCTGAAATTTAAATGCATTTATCTATAGTCTATTAATATGTGCAAGGCCCTTTGAAGAGTGTGTCTGCCATAGAAATATGATTTTGATTGGTCTGTAGGACTACATGAGACACTGGTGGCCAGAGAAGGTTGCTTTGTGGAAGAGGAGAAGGGTGCCTTTTGGGGAGAACTGACATCCCTGGTCTCAAAGTCCCTGTGCCTTACAGCTTACCTGTAGCCTCAGATGCCCAGCCAACCCTGTCCCTGACCACTTCTTGCAATGGGGAATCTTATAGGTGATATGTCTGGGTTTTCACTTCCTCAAACCACATTCATGTACTTTTGGTTTAGCAGACATCCCTCAGGTCCCCCAGCCACACTGTCCTGGGAATGCTTGTCCTGCTTTTTCATAAAGGAGATGGGATCTCAGGTGGTGTCAGGGACAGGTTGTCAGGCAGAGTGTGTTGAGTCTCCCAGACCTGTTGGCACTCTGTTGCCCAGTGAGTAGAAAGATAAACATCACTCTGACTGTCATCACCCCCACCCCAGGGCTCCTCCCAAAGATGGAGACACTTTTCTCCCTGAATATCCAGCTCTCTACACCTGCCCTGGGGGTCATCTGTGTGTCCAGAGAGCTGCTTAGCAATCCAGTGTAACTGGGTGATTGTGTCAACAGCTCAGAACCAAAGGCCATGAGACACAGAGTCCATTGGTTCTGCCACAGCTAAGGAGGGTGACACCCCCCAGCTGCCAGCCTCATGACACTCCACACTGAGCCCTGCTCTCAGAAGCAGACTTCTCACATCTTGTCCCTTAGATTTCCAAGCACAGATGTTAGGACCAGGAGTCTCCCTGTGAGAGACTGCCCTAGTTGACAGGGATTAGAGTGGGCACAGGTAGAGAGAGGCCTGTGATGCTGAGGTCACATGCATGACTCTTAAAGAAGCTGGTGGGGAGAAGGCTGCTCTTCAGCAGGTACCAGAGAACCTGACATTTACATGCACACATTCCAGCACCCTTACCTCCTGAAGCATGGACATCTCTTCCCTCTTCTGCAACCCCCACCCCCACCCTGCTCCTCCTGAGCTGGTCCCTATTGAGTCAGTCACATCTTTCTTCTCCAAGGATTGTACCTAGAGATAGATGGTGGAATACCAGCCCTTGGCGTTTCTTACTCCTCCAATGCAGGGTGGGAGCTAGGCCCAGGGTGAGGGGGTGGTTAGATGTGAAGGGCCTCGAGGGAGCTTCTGTGGTCTGGTTTCAGTTAGTGCTCACACCCAGCAACACCAATAAAAATGATAATAAATATAATCACAATATGTTTTTATTTATTCCCAAGTAGTCTACTTTCTCTGGCCCCCATCATTACCTATTTCATCCTTTGGGGGGAAGGTGGGCGTTAAATGTGGCTCTAATAAAAAGTAGTAACTGCCCATTTCCCACCCCCACAGCTCCGCCCTCACCCTCACTCAGCCGTGCGAGGCAGAGGGGAGGCTACACAGTGTGGGAGGGTGCTGTGCTACCCATTTTCAGAGGGGGAACAGAGGCACAAAACAGGAGGTACACAAAATGCAACCCCATGTAGAAAGTTGTAGAAGAAGCAGAGTTTGCCTTCTCTTTTGAGCCTTTCACCTTCTTCCAGGTATACACTTCCCTCCCTGAGGAGCGTCTTCCTTCCCTGTCCCCTCCCAAAGCCACCGGTAAAGACTGACCAAGATAAACATTTACCCACCTGCCACCACATGACGCTGGGCAAGTAACTTTTCATCACTGACAGTATTTCCTAAATGACAGAGAGAGAGAGAGAGAGAGAGAGAGAGAGAGAGAGAGAGAGAGAGTTCTTTGTAAAGATCAAGGCCCTGCACACAAAAATGCACTGCAAAACGGCAATCGGTGATATTTATTATTAAGCTCTCAGGGATATTTGTGTTCTTGGCCCAGAGGAATAGGCGGCCTTTCAAACTTCTGGTGAAGCAGGCGTGGGGGTTGGGGGCCCTGCCCAGATCTCTCACATCCTCGCTGTCAGCCTGCCCAGCGCTGTGGGCTCTGGCCAGGTACCCGCACAGAAGTCAGCCCGGAAGCCCGCCCTCCCGGGGTAGGCGGATGGGGGTGACGCGCCCCGCAGATTCCCTCTCCCCATTTCCTCCTCGCGTTCCCTCTAGTCAGCTCGGCATCTTTAGGGCCATCCTGAGTTCTGGACCCAGTGAAGTAACAGCCGGATTTGGGGCGCTCGCCAAGCCTCCTTCCAGCTTGTGCCTGAGCCTGGAGGAGGGGCCTCCACCCACCTCGTGCCCGTCCCCATTTTACAGAGGGCAAAACGAGGCAAAGGGAAAACCCAGTGATGAGTCCCGGAAATTCTGCTGTCCAAATCTCTTTCCCTTCCTCTACCCCCTCCGCCCCACCTTTTTGTCGTCGCTTCCCATCTCCTAATCTTCCCAATAAGGGCAGCGGCTCCACCAAGGGACCCCACCCGGGCCCATCCGCAAGTCACAGGACGCCCGACCCTTAAGGTGCCGGCCGCCCCGGCCCCGGCCCCGGCCCCGCCCCGCCCCCCGGGCGCACTGCGCCTGCGCCGCGCGCGGGAGGCCCGGGGTTGGGCAGATCCCAGTTCCGTGCAACTTTCAAGTGAGTCGCAAACTCCGCCCCAGGCTGGTGCCGGCGGCCTGCGCCCGAGGACCTGAAGACTCGCACGAGCGAGGCCACGACTCGCCACCCGCGGCCCGGGGCCCGCAGCGGCGCCGCGGCGAGGGCCGAACTCCTGGTTCTCCGCGGCAGGAAGGCCGGTCGTTGCCTTAACCGCCTGGGCAGGGCGGCGCGGCGGAAGAGCGCGCCCTTCGGCCCTGGCTCCAGGTCGGCTCCGCGGTGTCCCGGCCTTCTCGCCCGGGCCGGCAGGTCCCCTCGCACTCAGCAGTTAGGGGACGGCGGGCACCGCCTCCGCCCGGGGGCGGTGCGAGCGCCGTCTGGTCTCGCACTGCGCGCATACCCTCCTTCCAGACCCGCGTGGGCGTCTTCTTCGCCCCGAGGCTGCAGGATGGTGTCCTGGATGATCTGTCGCCTGGTGGTGTGAGTATGGCCGCTCTCACACGCCCTCTCTCTGGGTGCTATCCCGCCCGTGGGGTGGAACCTGGGACGTCTGGTGGGAAAGGGGGCTTTCTGAGCTCCGCCCCCCCCCCCCCGCAACTCTCACCGCAATGGTTAACGGATCTGCGGGCCTGCGCGCGGCATCAGCACCGCGGGCTTCTCGCCCTGGCCCCCAAAAGCCTCTTAACTGATGGCGACCCTTCCTGCACTCACACACTGCACAGGTGCGTGGGGTGGAAGACCACAGCCTGGCCCCAAGCCCCTTGGCAAACAAGGTATTGAGGCATGTTGTGGGCGGAGAATCCAGGTGCCTGCTTCCCATCTGAGCAATCACATGACTCACCACCCTGGCCTCACCTCCCTACTCTGTCCTACTCGTCACCTTTCAATACTTCAGCACCTGGCTTGACTATCCCTGCAGCCTGGCAGTGTCAGGTCTGTTGGCCCTGGGCCTGATTGCATGTCCCTGGGAGGGGAGGTGCTCTCACCACCTCAGAAGCCTGCCCCTGCCCCGTCCACCTTGCCCAGTGGCTGCGTGTACTCGTGCACCCATGGATCACTGTGCAGGCCTGGACAGGCTTGGGATGTTTGTAAACAGCAGGTTGGGGAGATGGCCTGCAGGGCACTGACTCAGATGCAGGTTGTGCAAGCCAAGCGGGAAGAACAGGGTAGGCACTGTCACCTCGAACCTGTGGGGGAGGTGGCCACCTGTGGGGGGCTGGGCATGGTGCCCCTTACACCTACCCCTCTGCTTTAACTGGCTGCTTTTCTAGGCTGGTGTTTGGGATGCTGTACCCAGCTTATGCTTCCTATAAGGCTGTGAAGACCAAAAACATTCGTGAATATGTGAGTATGGCAGTTGGCTCAGGTGGGGTGGGATGACAGCCTTGGTGGGGGATATGGTAGGACTTGGGAGGTGGGGAGGGTCTGAACTGGCCCCCACCTCCTCCAGGGGCACACATGGCTGACAAATCCTGAGCTGAGTGAGTGTGGATGGAGGGTGAGCTATTGAGGTGCCTATGAAGGAACTTGTGGGTGAAGCCTGCTGGGGCTGAGTACAGGAATGAGTGGCAGTTTCTCAGAGGCAGCTCTAGGGCCATCCAGGTGCCAGGGGAATGCAGTGGGACAGGCTCTCTGGCATCTCAGGGCTGGATCAGCCTAGGACAGGAGAGTTGGCTCTGCAGGCTCAGACACTGGCCTCTGACCTCTCTGCCCCCCATCCCAGGTCCGGTGGATGATGTACTGGATTGTCTTTGCACTCTTCATGGCGATGGAGGCCTTCACAGACATCTTTATTTCCTGGTATGGGTGCAGGAGCTCTGTGGGCTGTGGGAGGGGATGTTCCACCCTCATATGACTCTCTGGCTGATCTGTCCCCCTGTGCTCTGGCAGGTTCCCTTTCTACTATGAAATCAAGATGGCCTTTGTGCTATGGCTGCTTTCACCCCACACCAAAGGAGCCAGCCTGCTTTACCGAAAGTTTGTCCACCCATCCCTGTCCCGCCATGAGAAGGTATCTCAGGGGGAGACAGGGTGAAAGTGTAAGGGTGGGTGTGAGAGAAAGGGCCCTGGGCTCATTCAGGACATTGGAGAACACCTGGGTTCTAATCCTAGTCTATGGGACCTTGACAGAGCCTAGCCTTCTTCCTGGGATAATCAAATGGGTACAATGTGGGTGGCCTTTTGAGAGAGTGAAATGTCAGCTGGAAGTTGGTTTAGGAATAGGAGGGGGAGGCTGGAACATGGCTGTTCGTTGAGCTGTGGGACTGGGTGGGTGAGTGGGGAGCCCAGCTCTTGGTATGGTTGCTGGCCCACTATGGGTGCAGGTAGGCTGGGAGGTGTGGTGCTTGGTGACTTCTATGGTTCTGCAGAGGAAGAGTGATTCAGACTGCCCTCTGAGCTCTCTGTGTCCTGGTCCATAGGAGATCGACACCTACATTGTGCAGGCCAAGGAGCGCAGCTATGAAACGATGCTCAGCTTTGGGAAGCGGGGTCTCAACATTGCTGCAACAGCCGCTGTGCAGGCTGCCACCAAGGTGCTGCAGGGCCCAGCCCTCCATCAGACTCCCACCCCCACTTCCAGTGCCTTTTGGGCAAGTCCAGCTCTCTGTCAGTGAGCCGAGAGATAATAACAGCTGTCCATACCAGGGAACAGGGTTGAGAGGTGACAGGTGGGGTGTTGGCAGGAGCATGAAGCTGGAAGTTCACACTTCCTTGGCCTGATGCTGACCGAGAGCAGCTGCTCCTGCTCTCAGGGCTTTAATTTCCTGCTGGTGCCACAAAGACCTGGGACTAGAAGGTTGCTGAGTCGCTTTCAGTTCTGAGGCCTTTGCCCTAGTGATTACCTTCAAATCAGCCCTTGACTTCCCTGGGCAGCTGCCCTGGCTAAGGCTCCTTCCTGCTAGGAGCCCTGCGCCCTCCCTCAGGTGATGTAGCGGCTCCCCCTTCCTTGCAGAGTCAGGATGCGCTGGCTGGAAGGCTGCGCAGCTTCTCCATGCAGGATCTTCGCTCTATCCCCAACACCCATGCCCCCAACTATCAGGATCCCCTCTACTTGGAAGACCAGATGCCCCGCCACAGACCACCCATTGGTGAGTGGGCAGAGCCACTCAGCTGTCCCAAGAGGGCTGGCTTCCTCCATGCAAGCTGTGGCTTCCCCCACGGCTCAGCCTCAGGTCTTCAGACTGTAAATGCCAAACTTTGCTTCCTTGGCCTCCCTCTTCTCCACGCAGGATTCAGAGCGGGGGGCCTGCAGGACACTGACACTGAGGATGAATGTTGGTCAGATACGGAAGTAGTGCCCCAGCCGCCATCCCGGCTCCGGGAGAAGCCTCTGAGCCGCAGCCAGAGCCTGCGTATGGTCAAGAAGAAACCGCTGGTGCGAGAGGTCAGTGCCAAAGAAGGCAAGAGGGTGTGGGCTGCAGTGGCACTTCAGCCTGGACCTCTCATGGTGTGCCTGCTTTCTCTCCCACAGGGCACCTCACGCTCCCTGAAGGTCCGGACAAGGAAAAAGACTGTGCCTTCAGACATGAGCAGTTAGGGTCTACAGAGCCTGCCCAGTTTGACCTTGTGCCCTGCAGGGTGCTGGGGACTGTTTGGAGGGACCCTCTGGCTGCATGTTGGGCCTGCCTGCACCAGCTGCCTAGGCTCTGCCTTCCTGGCTCCTACCGTTGCGGAAGGGCTGGGGCAGGTGCCACCGGGGCCATGCACAGGGATGACCTGAAATGTACCAAAGCTGGCTGGGCCAAGGGTTCTATTTATAGTCTTTCTCATCCCTCTACCTTCACAGGGATTGGACCAGAGCCCTCCCCAGACCCCTCCCCAGACCCCTGCAAATGAAACCAAAGCCCACCCAGTTGTGTTCATTCATTCCTGTCCTTCAAAATACTTGACAGCCTTCTCTAAGGCCTCGTGTGTGTGTCCTGGTTGTGTGTTTTGTGTTGGTGAGTGAGGTCAGGTTTATGCAAGTTTTGATAAATAAATATGTAAAAGTGTTCTGTTTCTTCTGGTTTGTATTCCCAGTCCTCACATAACACATTATTGTTTTAAATGTTAGCTTTAAATGTGTTTTTATTGATTTTTTAGAAAGAGAGAGAGAGGGAGGAAGGGAGAGAGAGAGAGAGAGATAGAAACATGGATCAACTGCCTCCTGCACACTCCCCACTGGGGACTGAGCCTGCAATCTGGGCATGTGCCCTGAGCAGCAATCAAACTGGAACCTCTCAGTCCATGGGACAACGCTCAATCCACTGAGGCACACTGGCTGGGCAATAGCACACATTATTAAACAGCTTAGAATGAGGGCTAAAGGACAGGCAGACTGCCAGGGGGTCCAGTCTTCTGGGGAGACAACTCATTGACAAATAACTATGATGTGGCAAGTGCTGTCACAGAAAACTTTTGGGGACCCTTGAGAACACATATGGGAGAGTAGGGGACTAGCTCTGAGAGAGGTCAGAGCCTAAGAAGACGTAAGTCAGGAGATGAGATTGGCCTTGACCTGAAGCTGCACTGCATGGTAGGTAAGCTAGTGGAAGTGTAGGTATGGAGGGGGCTTGGGCAGCACTATATTCCCATGGGGATTAGCTGGAACTGTGCACAGAATACACCTAGGGAGTCTGACTTCCTTCATGGGCCTGGGGAGGCTGACTTTCTTCAGGGTCCTGCTGGCACCTGGGCGGTATTGAGTTTCTGTCAACACTTCAGTTAACATTAGAAGCGTTGCACCTATGTAGAGTGGCCACGAGAGGGCAGCAGCTGCCAGGGTCTGGGCTGCCCCTAGTTCCCAGGTCAAGGAGGGCAGGGCTCAGACAGAGGCAAGGGCCTGGCCGCTGGTTGGCAGGAGGGACCTTGTAGAACTCTGGTCTGGCCTCTGATGCCTGTCCCTGATGCTCCTCCCTGTTGTTCATGGCCATTGGTCCTCAGCTTGCCCCATCCACAGGTTCTACTGCGTTGTCCTGGGATTAAGGTTCTGGGCCTGGGCTGTATCTACTCCATCCCCCACCCTAATTCTGGGGCAGCCAGTCAGGCTTTGCCCTCCCCTGCCCCCCCGGATGCTGGTCTCACTGCAGTGTCCCAAGGTGTGCCCCTCTCCCACCTCCATGCCTGCTTTTTCTTTCCTCTTTTGATGAAGCAAAGAGGTGGGTGAGAGTTTGGGGTGGGAAGAGGAGGGATGAGGTGACCTGGAATGACCTGAGGAATGTGGATTAACTCTTGGTGTGGGATTACCTGGGTTTTATTTGGGGGAGGCACTTAATCTGTGGGGGTGGTGGTCAGTGGTGGAGATTAGCTCCTCACATCTTGGTGTTTAGTGACTTTCTATCTTGGCATCATGGTGTTGCTTTATCTCTTTATTCATTCATTCAAAAATGTCTTTATTGAGCATCTACCAGGTACCAGGCATATTGCCAGATACTGGGGCTACAAAGTCTAGTAATGGTAGCACCTGGAGGGTGACCACCCCAGCAGGTGCTACTCCAAGCCCCTCATTCACATGAGGTATGTACTATTATTATAACCTCCATTTTTCAAACTGGAAACCAGGCACTGAAAGGGCAAGTAATTTGTCTGAGGCCACACAGCCAGTAAGTGGCAGAGCTGGGCTTTGAACCAGGCAGTCTGGCTCCAAAGTCAGTGTACTTAAACACTGTATAGGACTAAAGTCAATGATATACTTCTTACTTGGGAGACAAGAAGGAAACTAAGATGTATCAAACACTGATATGCACCTGACCTTGTGCTGGGCACTTGACAGAGATGATTCCCTTGACTCCTCCCAACAAGCCTGAGGTAGTAGGTTATACTCATTTCATAGATGGGAAAATAGACTCAGAGAGGTGGAGCAACTTGTCCACAATTGTGCTGCCTGTGGGTGGGGGTCCCAGCTCCTGATGCAAGCCTGCCCAGAAGTGGCCTTGGCAGAGGTGGAACATCATGATCCACACCCCTGAACTGGGAGAACAGAACTGAGGAGAATGTCATCAGCAAAGCAAAATGAAAAAAACTCCAAGGGAAGGAGAGCTGCGGGGAGGTCTGGAGTTGTGGGGGGTGAGGGAGCTTCCATGGGAGCTGGGCTTCACCTGACCTCATTCCTAGGATGGGACCTTAGAGAGCAGCACAGTTACCTGGACCCTTGGGGTAAATTGGGGACGCTGTCTTGGTCCATGATCCCCGCCTTACCCTTTGCTGGCCCTGTGGGCCCCACAACTCCTGCCTTCAGCCCTGCTGCTCCTATTTCTGTCTCCTGAGCACGTCACATTCATTCCAACATCAGCCTCCAGGCCGTTGCTCCAGTTGAGTGAATCTCTGGCCCTGCAAACGGTCTTTCTTTTTCAGCCTGTCAGGACCTCCCTTCTAGGCCCGCTTTTCCTGAGAAGCCTCCCTGACTTGCCAGCCCCTCTTCGAGTTCCTAAGGCTCCTGATCTCTGGCCTGCTCACTCTATCCTGGGCACAGAACGCTCTGGGCTGCGCTGGTGTGCCTGTCGTTCTCCCGCTCCTCCCTTCCCAGCTGGCCTCCCTGACACTCAGACTGCTTTGTTCTCCCTCCTCTGTCAACCTGGACTACCACATGGCTCCACACTGTTCCTGGGACATGCTCTTCCTCCCCACCCCACTCTCTGTCCTATTGCTGCTCGCCCTTTGAAGCACTCAGACCTTCCCTCCCCCAGGAAGCCCTCTGTAGGCACTCCTCCTGCCCCGCTGGGGTTGAGTGCGCATGCAGACCACACCATCTCTGTTCTTGTACTGACTTCTGTTTTTGCCTTGAGCACATCATATTTTCTCCACCACTGCATTGCGACTTCATAAAGAACAGACTCGCCCTGGCCGGTTTGGCTCAGCGGTTAGAGCATTGGCCTGTGGTCCAGAGAGACCTGGGTTCGGTTCCCTCTAAGGGCATGTACCTCGATTGCAGTTTGTCCCCGGCCCTGGTTGGGTCATGTGGGTGGCAGCCACTCGTTGTGTCCCTTTCACATCGATGTTTCTCTCTCTCTCTCTCTCTCTCTCTCTCTCTCGTCCTCTCTCTCCCTCCCGCCCTGTCTGAACAAAAAATGGAAAAATGTCCTTGGGTGAGGATTAAAAAAAACAACACCAAAAAAAACCAGACTGGCATCTTATCTACTTTTGTATCCCAGCCAGGAACAAGTGGTGGTTTAGTCAAAGTGAAATATCATCATGCGTGTGAAGGCCCACTTAATCTCTGCTGTCTGAGCCTGAATGTCACCTCCTCCACGAAGCTCCCCACGACTTCCCCAGGGTGGGACTCGGAGTGCCTTGTAATCATGAACACACCCGACTCCAGGAGTCACGGGTTCTCAGCACAGGGCCTACTGGTGAAAGAACAAGTGCATTGAGTATAAGCTCGAGGGCGGGGGTGGCCTTGCTTTTGTCTTTGTGCCCTGTGTCTCCATGGTGCCCATCACAGAACCTTGAAAATGCCAGATCTCTATGACACACATTTGACAAATGGCGCTGCAGTTGTGTTGTATGGGCTCCAAGACATCTTGGGCCCAGAGAAGAAGGGGTGAAGAGAATTTCAGGTTCCGGGGCATTTCTGGCCGAGCACACCCGTGCTCTGAGACTGGGACATTGGGTGTGGGCTGGACTTCCCTGGGAGCGTGCCCTGTTCCCTCTGAGGATCACTAGACATCTGCCAGCACTGCCTCCCTCTGCATGGGCTTCCTGGCCCCTCCTTCACCCTCTCTGGCCTGGCCCCTAGAGGAAGGCGAGGCTGTGCTCCGGCCTGCCCAGGAGCCCAGTGTGCCCACTGCCGCCCCAGGCAGGATTAGGGCTGGGCTGCCCTTCCAACTGGCCTGAAGCACAGATGTGCCAGGCTCTGTGCTGGACACCGGGTGGGAAGATGAAGCAACCTAGTTCAGCGCACCCCGCCCCCTCGAAGCACATACTTCTGCTTGGCCCAGGTACCAACCCCATTTGATTTGTGCCTCAGCTTCTCCGTCCACCTTGCCTGTCCCTGAGGGCTTCCTTCATTGCTTCTGAGTCCCCAGGTGCAGGCGTCCCTCCCTTTCCTTTCCTCCCCACCGGCTCCACCATCCCTTGGCTCTTCAGGTGGCTCCTCTATCTCCCTGTCTCTCAGCCCTTCTCCCCCTGTGGCCCCTCCGCATCCTGATGCCCCTTCCCCAACTCCAGCCTCTATGTGCATTGGCCCTTCTGCTGAATTTTTAGCTGCCACTCTCAGTGGTGACAGCACAGGTAGCCCCTTGTTTCAACATAACTCTGGCCCAGGAGCTGAGTCGGGGAGTCCTGGCTGGCACTGCCCCACCCTTGAGGGGGTTGAAGAGAGGAGCAGTTAGGCCCTTGCTCCTTGTTCCCTGCCCAGCATCAGGAACTGGGACCCCCATAGCTGGGTAGGGGGCAGAAACAGGGCAGGAGGATGATGCCCACTGCTCAGGAAATCCTGGGGGCCAGAGCTGAAGCTACTAGGCTGGAGGTCCTGAACAGGGGCAGAATGAGGTAGCTTTCTCTGTGCGGTTAGATTGCCCAGAGAGGAGGTTGGGGGAAGGGGAGAGACGGTGGGAGGCAAGAACTGAGAAGAGGAATTAGGTCAGGGATGTGGGTGGGTGGGTGGGTGAGAGGGGACGTGGGCATCTGCTGCAGAGCTTCCTTCAGGCTCCAAAAGCATCTCCACACTTCCCTTCCTATCCCCTCCCCCCAGGTCCTGGGAGAATTGGTCCTGTATTTCCCCTCCCCCATG